TGGCAGGAGCATTACAGGAGTGGAACATGTTACGTAATTAACATTTAAGGTGGGGGTCCGAGGAACTAGGAATGCATCCTAAAATCTTTTCAGAAGGGTGGTTTTGATAAACTGCTGCAGAAAGCACACACACACACACACACACACACACACACACACACACACAAGGACTCTTGGCATTTCAGGATTATCTATTCTGGTAGCAGCTTTTATGTACAGCGCTAGAGCCCATATAATACGACACATGCAATATTATCAGAGTTAGAAGCATAGATCCACCAACGCATTAATATGAAATGAAGAAATTAAAGGAAGTGGATTATGTGATTAATAATGGTCATTTCCCAAGGAAATGTTAAGTAGTAACATACAAATCCACTGTCTCCATTGGATAGCTGATTTATGCAAATAGTGGAATTTTTCTTTAGCAAGTCTGTTTTTTAAAGCCACAAGGTACAAAACAAAAGGGAAAGTTTGGAAGAGCTCTTATTGAAATTTGTTCTTATAGTTGCCTTTTTTAAATGAGTAATAACGGTGTCTGCTTGTCTGAAAGGCTGAAAGGCTTCCCCACTTATTCAGTGGTGCGATTCAACCGGTCTAACAACCGGTTTGCTGCTTGTGAGCTTTGCGCTCTTGCTTTGCTAATGTACGTGCCAAATGCACACTTCGCGCATGCGCAGTGGGTTAAAACGAAGCTATAGAACTTACCTTCTACTGCAGCTGAGGCACGACAATTGGCTCTGCCACGCCTATCAGCTGGGCTAAAAAACAAGGAAATATATGAGTATAGCCAAGGGGCAGGCGGGCGGGCCCACCTGAAGATCGGAGCGAACCAGTTCGCTCTCAGGTGCTCTTTGGAGCTAGCGGTTCGCCCGAACCAAGCCGAACTGGTAGAAATCTCACTCCTGCACTTATTTCAGATTTGCACCAATTTCTTTCTTTTTTTTCCTTTGTAGAATGAGGCTAACCTACCTGACTAGTATACTGAGACTACCCCAGCATAATGCAGTGACCAAAGTTATGGGAACATCTAGGTTCAAGTCCCTTCTCAACCCGAGAGCTCATGGATAATTTGGGGCCCTTCACTCTTTCTCAGTGTCCAACCTCATAGTGTCATGATGAACATATAAAAGTAGTGGGAGATCCCAAGTATCCTTTGTGGCCTCTTCAAAAATGAGGGAGGTAAATTAATCAACAAATGAATGAAATAATACATGCAGAAAATAGTGGGGCACTGATAGAAAGTAATAGCGTGTATCATATTGGAAGGTAAGTAAATACATCAATTTGTAAAGGTGTGAAAAATATTATTAGGTCCTGAAATGATATTGTCAGACTAGATATGAGGAAGGGGGAGCAGCAGAACTGGCACCCGACACAGGCTCTACTTCCTTTGTTGTTATTTCTGTCTTAGATTGGGCAATTTCTGTAACAAAATATTTAGCTTTATGCAGCAAGAAGAAAATTGCATTGGCCTGGGAGTGAGTCATCGAGAGTATTGACCATCGGAAGGGTGAGAACATTTTTTTAGGACATGAAAAATTTGCTTACAACTGGGACAGGCAAACTAATGACCATCAGATAGAGTGGAGATCATGGAGAAAGAGACACGGATATATAAATGTGTGTATATCACACAGAGAAAGAGATCTCACATTTTTTTAAAAAAAGGATGCACTTGGATGCAATTTTCTGACTCCAAGTTAAAGGGAGGAGGTTTAAGTTTAAATCACACAATATAAAATCAGAGTATAATCACTTCCTAGAATAGCTTAATCTGGGAGAATTAGGAATGAAAAAACTGTATGTCTTCAGGGAAAGGGAGCAATGGAGATCAAGCAGAATTTCTGATGTGTTTCCTCACTGCAAATAGCTTTCTGGAAAAATGTGTTATGAATTATTTTTATGTACATAATTCCACCATTTAAAAATATGTATAATTTAGACCACACAGGAGAGTGGGAAACGGAAAGAGAATGATTAAATGAGCCCTGAAAATGATATTTGTTTTTAGACTAGTCTCCAATATTTTCCTCTATTTTATGTTGTACATACCAAAATCATGAAAAATAGTACAGGGGGGTGCCAAGTCCTCCCCCATATGTTCTAAAGTATCAGAGCTCTCTTGGATGCTCTCTGAATCAATCAGAGAGTTGAAATAAACATTAGTAAACCACTAGACTTCAAACACAAACTTGCTAGCTAGAATTTAGAATAAGAAAGAAAACATCTGTTTTTCCCATGGCTATCAAAGACTTAAAACCAATGTCTATACCCTGAGCTGGGAAAGGAGAACAAACAACTTACAGAGTACAGCATTAACAGGTTACTGTTTTTATTCTAAAGTATCAGGGTCAGAAAAATATATGGTTGTATGGTTCATATGTATGTAAAAATGTGTGATTCATATGAACTCATACTGATGTCCTGTGAATTGTGGTATGAAGATGGCCTGCTAATTGGTTTTAGATGTGATGTCCTTTTGATGTCGCAATTATCCTATCTCCATGTAGTGGCAGCCCAAATTCATCCTTTGTGGCTCCAGTTTCAAAGTAGTGTTTTCATCTTCTCCTGACACACACTCAGGAACATAAATGAGCAGTTACAGCAGTCCTCCTATCCCCCAGGTAGACTCTTCTTCTAGAGAAGGTCTATTTTCAGAATCTGAATGACAAGTTATCAGCATGGAGCACCTTCATATCAGTGTCCATACAAGTGCAGTCATTCATACTTGGAAAATGGCTGAAATCTCTTTGAAGAAGCATAAGAAGAAGAATATGGATGCCTTTGAAATTTGGTAGAATATCACAAAATAGTATTTGGTAGACTATTGCAGCTACACAAAAAGTGTAGCTGATGAGTATGACCAAGAACAAACAACTGGTTATTAGTTCAGCACTTTGAACCTCTCCAGACAAAAGAAAGGATGGAAGGTCATCAAAAGGTGCTCCAGACAGTTTCTCCTCATGAGGAGACTGCGAGGCAGTGGTCTCTGCAGATTTTGAGCACTAGGTGATGAGGGAATAGTCATCTTGTTCAAATTGTGATCAGCACCTTTGAAAGAGCAGAGAATTTGCATGCTTCCTTTTCTAATAACATTTGGAAATTACTTATTAATTGCTTTTCAGCTACTAGGAACCTTTGGATTGACAAGTCTGAAAAGACCAGATGAGTTTGCCTTCAATCCTTAATGAAAGACATTTTTAACAACAAGCTTTAAGAACTTAAACGTTTTTTGAAATAAACAGCAAAAAGTTGATTTAAACTGATTTTAGAAAATTACAAATGGACTAAAGGCCCAGATTAATTTTAGTATAAATTATATGGAAATATTGAAGGATATTGTTAAATAATGGAGTCAGAAGTTACTACAATGACAACAGAAATGTCTTCCTCTGTTGATAGAATGTCTCTAAAGGAACACATTTTATTTGACAAGACAAACTGAATTGAATGTGGACTTACAGATAAGAGACTACAAGAATGACATGGAATAGATGCTAGATTGTAGGAAGTTAGCACCCACCTCTCTCTTAAAAGAATGAAATAATCTAGGAAATATTAAAAAGGCAGAATATTATACCTCCCTGAATAAGAAAAGGAGAAACATGCTCTTGGAAAGCAGCCCCTCCCCACTTATTAATAGCACCAGCAAGACTGGGCCAACCTATCTACAAGACTAAAAAACTGGGCCAGCTTATCTACAAAACAAAAAATCTTTACCCTCAGGATTTACTAGGATTAGCCCTCTACCCATCTCATCACATGGCACCTGGGAATATTGCATCACCCAGAAAGGTTCAACCAAGCCTGGACTCAAGACAACCTACAAAGTTACCACTGCATGGCCCCATGAGTCTGACAACCAATCAGGATACCTGCCCTTACACGGGAACAGGAAACTCTAAGGCAGGGCCCAAAAGAGGGTATAAATCTCTCTCTGTCTTGCCCATGTGCTTGATTGCCCAGGACCTCAAACCATGTGGTGTCTGATCTGGTGACACCAATGTCACCAGACAATTCTCTTAGATGATCATTGTATTTTAAAGTTTCATAAACTACCCAATGAACAATGTGTAAATTTTGGGGTGATTTTTACTGGGAAAAATATAGTAATATGTGTCATGGTATTAATTTTGGACAGCACACTCACACACAATGTTGCTTTGGTTTCCTAAAATTCAAATGTAGAAAGCAATAAGAAAAAAATGCAAGGCACATTTGAACAGGTAAGCATACATTCCTTCATAAATCTGAGAAATTACTACTGTAATAGGATTGGCACCAATTTTGGGGGAAACTTCAACCCTGCCAATTCTTTTTTTGCAGGGGAAGGAAGGAGGGGGGAAATGGGATGGACTGTATTTTACCAGCTTCCAGTTTAACCCCTCCCTCTTCCCTTGAGATGGGGAGGGAAGGAGAAGGAGACAGGATATGCCCAAGAGCAGTTAGAAAGTCCAAGAGATTGACCAGTTGAATGGTGAGTATGTGGAGGGAAAAGTGTTGTATCAAATTTGTTGGCCGAAGGCATGGGAAAAGATAAACCCAGTTTTAAAATGGAGTGTATAGTTATAGAAGGCGAGCCTATCTGCTGTTTTTTAACCTTCTCTCTTTTACAGCTAATGGGTAACAGATGGATCTTATTAGAAAGGAAGCTCCTTTTCATTTGTATCACAAAAGCCACGTCAAACTTCCCTCTGGCTATTTTTTTTTGGGGTGGCAATTGTTCTCTTAGTGTTACTATTTAATTACTTAAAATGAATATTTTAGTTCCGGATTAATTTTATCCCTTCCATAGAAACAGCAAAGATTTGGTGGTGTTATTTTGGGGGGTTATACCTTTTATTTTGAAAACAGCTTGTTGGTTGAAATCAAATGGGTTGTTTATGAGTGAGAAGAATCCAAGACAAATCATCTGGTGGAGTTCAATGAGAGAAACGTGCAAATTAAGGACTATCGTGGCCGCCTCACTTTTATCTTTTCAATTTCAAAACTGAGCTCATCAGAATTTCACCCTTTGTCATTGATCATGTGTGACCTTGTCACAATTCCAGTGATTCCTTGGCACTTTTTTTTTTTTTTGCACAACAGACAACTGCAACAGCAACTTTAAAACTCAGCATTTTTGCACTGCACTTTGTCTCCCCATGCCCTGTCAGTGCCATACAAACCTCAAGAAATCAACCGTTTTAAGGTGGCACGCTTACTTTAGCAGTAAATTGCCCATACTTTTAGCTTGCATAGCCTCTGGCTGAAAGCCCTCCTTAAAAGACGCTCTAAGGAAGTCAAAAATAAAATACTACTTACCAGCACCACTTTCTTCAAGCAGAGTCTGACATCCAGTCGGAAATCTGCTGAATCTTAAATGTTCTTCAGCGGGACCTTGTTGTTCACTTTTGTTGGGAGTTATTGTCACAAAGTATTCTTTTAAATGAAGCGTGCCTTCTCAAATATAGTTTGCTGAAGCGGCTGCCTTGCATTTGCATCCCAGTTTCTTCCAGCAGCTTGTTTTTTTGGCTCAGCTTTGCCAGAGGCATTTTTTGATTATTGTGTAATGTGTTTCAGCGTCTGCCTCGAGTCACAAGTCACGTGAGACAGGAAAGAAAACCCTCCAAACATGTGGCTAAATGCTTGGAGAAATCCCTTCTCCCCCTGTGTTCTGGGCAAAGAGTTCCAAGGATCGGGAGCTACTTGTCTTCAACATGCTACCTAGTGATGCTAACCAATGTTTTCCAATCTTAGAAACCAAGATATGTGGAGTTCAACTCGGAGAATTCCTTGGACAGTCCACATGTCTTAAAGTCTTTAAGGTGGAGAACCATTACTCATTGGTGGTCAGCAGGTAGCCTTTAATCTAGCACACAAGTATTTCTAACTCTGTTCCTAACAATTTTGCCAAATTTCAACAGGTGCAGGCATCATATACACTGCTCAAAAAAACAAAGGGAACACAAAAATAAGACATCCTAGATCTGAATGAATGAAATATTCTTATTAAATACTTTGTTCGTTACATAGTTGAATGTGCTGACAACAAAAATTATCAATCGAAATCAAATTTAGCAAACCATGGAGGTCTGGATTTGGAGTTACACTCAAAATTAAAGTGGA